AAATTCGTTGAGCGTGGTCGGTGGTTGTTGGGTGACAAGGATGGGTGATAAGTCTGGACTGAGTGCTGGCCGTGGTGATGTTCTCCTGCAGGACGTAATCTGAAACAATACCAGCCCTGTGTGCTCTTGCGTTGTAATCCTAAAACACAACACGACGTCCATGTCGGCGCCAAAATTGCACCATGTGGGCCTTCAGGATGTTGCCATGGTAGTACAAACCAGTGACACGTCCCTGAATGAGACGTAAAGATGTTCTGTCAGTCACAGTGATACCCCCACACTATTGCTGAGCGACCCCAAATCAATTGTTCTGTCTAACGTTAACGGCATGAAGCCTTCATTCCGTCTATGTCTCACTATGCCAAGGAAGTCGAAAGTAAAGCTTGATTTATTGGAAAACTTAACGTTTGCTCATCGACGATTTGGCCAGCGCTCATGCTCTTGACACCAACGACGTCTTGCAGTGACGGTCCGACAATCGCGGTATAACACGTGCATGTCGGGTATGCAGGTTCCATCTGTCTAACCGATTACAAATCGCCTGTTGTCACTCTAACACATGTAACTGTATGAAGCTCATCTCCAATTTGATACGGTGTTGGTCACGGTTTCGTATCACATGTCGTTCTGATGAAACGTTCTTGGGCGCCAGTTGTCGCTCTTCGTCGTCGCTCTTGGTCGACCAGTTTTTTTCTCTGTTGACATCGTGATAGTAATCTTCTAATTACTGAGTGTGAAAAGTGAAGAGCTCGTACCACAATGCTCTGTCTTGTTCCAGCTACAAACATGCCAATTGCACGAAGCCGTTCCGGACATAAAAGTGGTCAAAACACGTTTAATTAAGTTGAAAACAAAACCAGGACAATTTCAGTCTGGTTTTCATCACTGAAGTGTACAGCAGCACATTGACACGATTCACAGCAAATTCTGAATATTTTACTTCGACCATGTTCACGAGCATTTCATGGAAAACCAGCACGAAATATCACCCTGTGATATTCATTTTCCCAAGTAATATCAGACCAAAATGGAATATACCCTAGTTATTGTGATAGTATATTGATGTTTAGTTGTATGCTTCTCTATGTACATTTTTACTGTTTATCAGTGAGGTATTTACTCTGCGTGTACAGGGACGACCGCGAACAGGATGTGCAGCTCGTAGAAACGTCTTGAGGTTGAGCTGGAACACCACTCATCTCATTTCAGTTCGAGCTGGAAACGCAGTTCATTGCTGTCTTTCAGATTTCTGGCCATATATTCCGTTCATTGTGATTATTGTGTTTATTATTTATATCTTGTGTATGGAACGTTCCGGGAATATGGAACAGTGATATCGATCTTTCCTTGTTTGTTCGAAAAGAGCTAGTCCCAGTCGACAATGCTCGCATTGGCACTTTGTCCTTGTGTAACGGTTGTGTTTTGATTTAGTTTCCAGAATAGTCCAGATGAATCCAGTCTGGATTGTCTGTAACTAATTTGTAGGCACCAAGATACTATCAGGTTGAGACCATATCCTAGATGACATAACGTCTAGGACTTTCAAAGAGGAGTCTACGGCTCAATGTCAATATTTTATTGAATGAGTCTATTGGGAGACCTTAGAGGATAAAGAACAATCCAGTTCAAGTAGCAAAACAAAAATGTATGCTGGAATGAGGCGAAGGAAACCTCTAATCTTTCCATCCCCGGCGAAAAAATCCCCCTTTACTTCACTAAATAAATAAATAACAGATCGCGATTGCTCACAGGATATTTAGTTCGGATTAGTAACGGACACTAAACAGGGCAAAGTCTAACCATTAAGACGAGATTAAGTCTTCGAATGTTGTTGTTCAAACAAAAATATACGTTGTTTGGGCGCCATTAAATGATTTCGAGGTGGTATCTTCTCGTCGTTAGTATCCATTTTTCTGTTTAATTTCTTTACGGCACACAGTTGGCATCAAGGCAAAGCAGGGATAGTTCCACAATGTGTCTGTAAGTGTTTGCAATCACACGCACCAGAAAGGAGAAGTACAATATATAGAGTTGCAATCAGTTACAAATAGAAAATTATTTGGTTACGTGTACAATATATAGAGTTGTATATAGTGTTGGTTGGCTGGTTATTTAACGTTGCACTCAGCAATATTCAAGCTATATAGCGGCGGTCTGTAAATAATTGTGTCTGGACCAGACAATCCAGCAATGAACAGCTTGAGCATCGATCTACACAATTGAGATGCGATACCATATGTCAACCATGTCAGCGAGCCTGACCACTCGATCCCGTTAGTTGCCTTTTACGACAAGCATGGGTCGCTGAAGACCAATTCTAACCCGGGTTAGTTATATACAGTGGGTGCGTGTGAGTGGGAGGTCGCCTGGTATATTCCAGGGAAAAATACGTATCCATGTATGTTTGGTACACAATGGTGATGAGGCTGTTCATAAATATTAAACTTTGTACATGTTATTAGCCACAAAGTTCCTATTTTCTGACGCAGATTTGTTCATTTACAATACAAACCGCCTTCATAGAGCTATATTATTTCTTAAGCGAAAAACAACACCAGTCATTCATTTAAGTAAACCATTACACTGGCGTAAGAGAAAAACGATAATACAGCTCCGTGAGGGAACACATCAAGAGTTTACCAAGCCTGGGGGAATCAGATAAATTGGCAATAAATGTTCTTCTTTCAAATGAAATTTTGAACGAGTCTGCCAATAAACCCTCAAGGCAAGCGTGCAGCTCGGGAGATGATAACATGGTTCTTTAGGATAAGCTAGAAATATCCCTTTCTGACGCTGATTTTAAGAACCCGGATGTAAATTAAGTCTAACGTTGGATTTGTGGATAACCCTTTAACTTTAGACATCTCCGCTGAGGGATGCTAATTAACTGGGTATTCTTCGTAAGTACCTGACTATATCCAAGAGCCATTCTGTTTGCTTCTAAGTGACAACAAGTGCCCTAGGAATGGAATTTCATCAACACTGCTATTTCAGACAAATATTTTCATTTCCGCGATGGGTTCTCGGCAATCTTAGACATAATCTCCTATCTTGAATATCCATTTTTGAGAAGCCTCAGAAAACGAATGTCAAGAATGTTATTGCGTGGATAATGGAAACGGAGATCTTTACAGATAAATCATAGGCTTCATTTTGAAATGGGGACTTTTCCATGGGGGCCACGTAATAATGGTTAACTTATACTTGTTCAGATAAAGTTTCCTAATCCTTGACGAAAGGTTTCGCGGTTGTAAGAGTAAATAGGGCAAAGGCTGACTGTCGCCATTCCATGGTTACATTGTCAACAATGTTGAATTAGTTCTCACTGTTAAATGTTGAATAATAATAGCAATGCACAATATATTTGCAGACTTACAAGACTTACACATGATAATGAAGAGACTGAATTTATTTACAAGGCATTAATACAGAACAATATATCTAATACAGTATACTACAGTATATGTATACATGCATCTCTAAATGTATCTCTACTGAATTGATAAATTGAAAAAAGGATGAACACCTAAAGGGCCCGATTCAAATCTTGATTTCTTAGTTGTGTTCAATAAACAAAATGTGATGGCTGGAAGAGGGTAAGATGTTTTGTGTGTCCTCACAAATAGTACGAGGTTATCAGACATGTTACAAGTACCTTTCAAGATACAATGTAACGGAAGTGTTAAACTATGAGGACGAATATAATTATATATCTACAGATGATATGTGAGAAATTTGCGGAATTAAGAGGAACTCCTTTTATGGATAGACAACTTCTTTATTGCAATAGATGCGACGTTTCGGTGTTGATCATAGCAAGCATCATTTGCTTGATAACGGTGTTAGGATCTACACTGAAACATCTATTGCAATGAAGAAATTGTCTATCAATAAAAAAATATTCCTCTTCATCAAACCAGCTTCTAAATGCCACTTGAAGAAGTTAGTGCAACCTATGCAGTGCTACTATTACTGCCCCTCGTGAAAAGCCTTTACAGGATTGTAGTATAGAACATACTAAATGCAAACTTATTTCGATGTTCGATTAATATTTATCCTGACAAGATATATACATGATAATAAGTGATTACATAAACTGACAAACAAGATCATCAATGTTTAATAATAGTTTCGTTCTGCTTGTTAACCAAGTGTTCAATAAGTATATAAATGTATGGTCAATGTCGTTTCAGAGCACTGTCTCCAGTTTAGGAGAAATTATTTCAGTGGCAATACAATGAATACAAAGCACCAGTCTAAACAGCTTGCTTTGTCAATATTAACACCGAATCGTTTTCATGTTACATACCTCCAAAATGCAACTTTCGTCTTTCATTATGACAATCATACTTTCATGACTTCAGTGGCTTGGTTGTCGTCCCTTTGAATTATTGGTGATGGGATTGAATCCCAGACCATTATTAACGTTAACACCGTCAAATGCTAGTCTGAAGACAGAGTCATCCCGTCACGATTGCAAGTGTAGGGAAAGACACGGTATAGACAATTTGTCTGAGAGTGAAGTGGAGACTGACGTCGTGTGACCGGAAGTGAGATGCGCCATCTTCAGGATCTGATTTTGTTTCCACTTTGGTAGTTGACAGAACTGGAAGCGACTGACTCGGATCACCTCCAGGAAGTCTTTGTCTGTGAGATGATGTTGAAAGTACAAAGGGAATGTCCAATAGGATCTGCTGTTGTTGTCCCAGCCTGGAAGCGGTATAACTGTCAGCTTGTGATAAATGAACTAGCCGGATACGTCAATCCTGACAAGCAATTTCGCAATATCTCACAAAGTAATATTTCTGTCACTAATAGCAAATACAATCAATATCCTACTGACTGCAAACGTGTCATGCCTGAACTAAAAATAACATTCTCCAGTACAGGGAAATTGTCATCCCTTTTCAATTGTTTCTTGTAATTTTGTTAGGCTTTGTGAAATCAAAATTTGGAAACTGTTGTTTTGTTTCCATAAACATCATAAAACCACCATCTACCTGTTTGTTTGCTGGGTCTACATCAGGTGGGAGTTCTCCTCTCACCAACGTCTTGTATGGATACTTAGCCTTAACAACGTGGGACCTGTCCAGTATCTGTGACAACAGACATAAAGAAAATACAGAGAGCTCGAAATAACAAGTTTAACCCTTTTGGTTTGAAATATTAACCGAGTTATTGCACTCACTTAAATGCATAGCTATGGTAGTGTTGCCGTTATATGATTCCCACTACAAAACATAATATTCAACTCAAACTTCCATTCTTCCGTCAACACTTACATCTGAACTGATATCAATCCGAGCGTTTTCTTGCCGCACTCTCTTTCTAGCTAGGGTGTAAACATCTCTTCCCTGTAACAGCAATAGTGAAGCGTCCAAGTGAATGAAACTATTTTTATCAACTTGAGACACGTCGATACCATCGAACACATAACATCTCATTGAGATAATAGTCACAACATTCTCAATACATCACTAATTATCAACAAAGGTGATTATAGTCTATCTTTTACCTTGTTTGAGTGGCATTTAGAAGTTGGTGTGATGAACAATATACAACTTCTTTTAAAGAAGTTGTGTATCCATAGAACTCTCCTCGTTGTTCATCTTTTCCTGCATTTTGTCGGGGTGGGGGACGTAATATGACTAATATATGGTATTTTCTTACATATATTTACGTTGCGTTTTACCTTACATCTTCTCAATCGCACAGTCATTATTTGTCTGTACCTCGACGTAACATTAAGTCTACAGGGATATGCTCAGTCTGTCCCCCAGCACTTGGAGGGAGGAGAATACTGGAGTGTCCCATATGTACATGCACTCCACCAGGCAAGGCTTGGTCGATAGGCGAGACCAGAACCGCTACTGGGGCTAAAATACGTAATTATAGTTTCCTAGATATTTCATGTACCAGCTATACCGCGTAGGGCAGTTAAGACCATATGCACTATGATGAAATGTGGAACTGAAGCGATAGCAAAAATGACATTGCACCACGCTTCATTGTGTTAACTGTCAAAAGACTAAATCAAAGAATCCTTAAGTTTATTAAATCTCTGGGTTTGCAGCTGAAACCCTCTCCACTGTGCCCCATGGGCAGGAGAAAGTATATTATCACCCGCGGCAAACAAATGGCATGTATTTCCAACCATCTCGGTCGGAAAACCCATCAAATTACCAGATGACATTGAATCTCGCGCCCCCTTCAAGTTAATACCTCGTTGGGCATGGATTGATCAAGTGAGAATGTTATGAACAATCTATAGGGCAACGTTTCCTGCAAACTGGTTTGATTTATAACCTCTGGTGTTGGCGTGTTTATCAAGACCAGCCACTGCCCGGTGGTTTGCTGGAACAGGTAGACGTTATCACTCACACAACCACTGTTTCAGAAAGCCCACGTGAAATTCAATAGGATGTGGGAGTTATGATTTGAAGCTGGACGTTGGGTATTTTGACAATCGAGAGGATGTAAGACGCATATCAAATAGAGGATTATATTTGAACTTGCTTCCACCCTGTCCAAGTTTAAATTAACTACAAACTGACTTCATCGAGGGAAAGGTAGGGGTGGCCTGGATGAAAAGTTTGTTATGTTATGAAGGTATGCCTAGGTTAGTCTTTATTCGCTATGATAAAACTACAATCTATCCCGAGTCTGAGAATCTACCCCGAGCCAACCTGAGATATATCAATCTTAGAACGATCGACGTAATAAAACAGGAATATTTGATTTTATTCCTTAAGAACAATACATTTGAGACAACCATCAAGACGCATAATGATTCAGTTAGTGTAACACGCTTTTCATTTCTGAAGTCCTTTCACCAAAAAAAAGAATCATTTTACAAAGAAAGGGCAGGAGATGAAGATGGTTTCGACAAGAGTACAACCGTCCCACATCCTACACGCTGATGGAAGGCCGATCGCTTACTCAAACACAACGCTAGCAGAACTTGATCAGATCTTCCACCAGAAATGGATTTACACCAATTACGGCGGCATGCTTGCAGCAACATCTGGCACTTCTGTCAACGTGTTCTCAAAACACGTGTACGCCTGTATTCAATCTCCAGGATTGGCAGGGGAACAGAACTAGTTGATAGTGTTTCAATACCTTGATCGGACCTCTGTAGGCAGTGCTTGTAGACATGAAGAGTAAACTTTTATCGAGGTTTGGGGTCTTCAAGGTCTGAAGGAGAATGCCCAACAAACCTATACACATGGTTGAAAATAACATAATCACCGTGAAAGAAAAGTATGACGAGCTATGTTTCTATCTTGATTTTAAAACGGATTGAAACGTTTTTGTATTGCAGACCAATGATTACTGAATCTGAGTCTGGTCGATTTTGTCTGACTATCTGAAGATATAACGCAAGCGCTTCGTCGTTTTTCAACTTGATTAGACATTTCAGAGTATGCGTTTTTTTTCGGTGCATCGCTTGTGTGAAGCACGTAATAGACTGTAGAAAACCAATCAATCAGTGAATCTATTCACAGATAACAACTACTTCGTGTTTTATGTTTTTATTCCGCCGATCAGTTAGTTATACGTTGTAGTGATATATATTTCCGCCTCTAAAACGTAACTCTATCAGATCTCATTAACGCTTATTTCCACATAGCACGAAAAGAGTCGCTTATGCCCGAAGACGTGGGTTACTGACATACTGAGTCCTGTAGTTAAAACGTGATGAGTGGTTATAGATGTATGGAGTAACGTCTGTTTCGACGTCCCCATGGCGACGACATATAACACCGTGGTTACCAGACGTGACACACTCAACAGACTCCTGTACTTCCCCGGTTGGATTCCAGACAACAGTTGTTCTCCACTGGCCTTGCTTTAAGCGATCATAAGGCGTATTACGTGGCCAAAAAGCAACGGTATTAGTTTGGTGACGCTCAAATCTAATGGATGTGTCCAGTACTGTCTGTTCAAATGCAACATACACAATCACAACAGGTAGTTGCCCAAATAGCGAAGTTGTAGTCATTAAGACTTTGGTAACTCCAAGGAGCACGGATATGGCGAAACTATTAGTAAGTATGTGTGTGTGCGTGTCTGCGTTCTTTTTATTCCCCAATTTTACAACAGGGAAACACGACAATGCACTTCACGCATTATAGTCACATGGGAACTCGAACCAGGGCATTAGCAGTAAGCATTCAACCCACATGGCTAACCTGTCTCTTCTGCGCAGCTAAAATTCAGTTAAAAGCTCAGAATTATTGTTTCAAAGTGTTAAGATTTTCTATCCTGAGAGTAATTAATTTATAACACCACCTCACTATGTTTACCCTAGTGTAAATGTTAGAACTAAATGTAGTTGCAAAAGCCAAACAGGGAGGAAACAGCTATTGCCAGATCCAGACTGAGGACCATGTCTACGACCAGTGATTGAGTTACTGAACATGTTCTGCTACTTCATTAACAGAAGGGTCATCCTTGACCTGGATCAATGGCACTAAAGGCACCCATATCCCCCTGTCTACAGAATGGTTCGACCTGTGAAGATCCGGTTTAGAATTGATCTTCAGCAACCCATGCTTGCTGTAACGGGATCGGGTGGTGAGGCTCGCTGACTTGGTTGACACTTATCATCGTATCCAAATTGCGTAGATCGAGGCTCATGCTGTTGGTCACGTGATTGTCTGGTCCAGACATGACTATTTACAGACCGCCGCCATATACCTCGAACTTGCTGAGTGTGGCGTTAAGCAACAAACCAACCAACAGAACGGTTCAGTTTTGTCCATCTTATTGACAAGGAAATTGGAGCTAAGACCACAAGGAACATAGGTGATTCACAGATGAACGCCTTAAACAGATTACATATTTTAAGGGATGCATCCATAATTCAGTTCTCATGGTCGTTCCTGATTTGAAAGAAAGTGCCTGGCCAAGTTTGCAATTACCTTCCGTATAAATAAAGCACATGATTGGATGGCCTCACAGTTTTCACGACACAGTGGCAGTGTGGTAGAGCTAGAGGAGTTCTGGAGAGAGAGGTGTACACGTCCGACATGTCCACGCTTATCTGGTGCCGGCCATGACAATTTAAATATCTTGACGTACCACGACAGCAACCATATGGTTTGTGTGCTACTTCTTGCCACGTCATGAATAGAGATCATTTCAAGGGATGAATATAGTACGTCGTTAGGAACGCACTGTCATTAATCACCATGAGGTAAATCCTGCTGTTGGTATGACGATTTCCAGCTCAGAAGCTTCATTGGAATAGTCCACATACATAATACAGTTACTACATGCATCATTCGGAATATGGTTGTGGTAAACACAATGTTACATGCCTTTGTATGGCGTAACATGAAACATATCTGTGACATCACTCTTCTGATTAAACGATCGATGAATTTTCAGTATAGGCCTATGTATTTGTAGTCAGTTCGCCGAAACCCTCATTTTAATTACGTACATTATGTACATAGTGGAACAATTTTCGGAATACACAATGCCAAGTGTTACATGTTACAGTTTGACACCCGTCTGATCGAAACCTTCAGAAGGTCATGTCCATCAGGGTAATAACATTAAAACTGACTGAAATTATTCACGTACCCAACCAGTAGACAGGGCTGTTCTCAGTCGAACCTAAATGTTATAACATCTTGTCTAAATATATGTTCATGTTGTCTGTCCAAAGTGCGCACTGCCTCAGAAACTGTACTCCCATACACAGAACCTGTATTCTTCATGAAATGGCACCAGACGTGACGCATACTGCTGTGGAGCTCTTCTCATGTAAACAGGGTTCGGTCATAAATTTAGATGTAATACTTGTCACGTTAACTTATTCATATCCACCCGAAGTGTGATGTAAGTGGCCGCTTCAAGTTGAAGCATGGCATTTAGTCGTCAAACCTCTGTTCACGTCTGGGAATGATGTCTCCTCAGGAACATTGCCACCCCAGTCTTCTGAATGACTTCTCTTCTGTCGAGAGGATATTAAACTGCGCTGACATCCGCCATTTTCGTTGCGGCAACACCAACACTTTTACCTGTGGGCAAACTTACATGGAGAGAAGCTGCACATTATTCAGTAGATAGCATCAGTGATCCCGTAACAAGATTAACGGTTTGACGATGCTATTTGCGAGATAATGGACTGCGGCAATATTCGATCTTTGTATTAGGGTACTCCTTGTCCATTTCAGAACCCTTTGACATTCTTACAGCACGTTTTTGTTCCTTTCTGTGTCTGGTCCTCATCGATCGCGTCCTGTTAATGACAACATGAGTCATTTGACGTTCTTTCAGCGGTGTTTAGTTACTGAGTTAAATTCACTTTAAGCTTAAATATTAGTCCAACTATATATATAATTCTGAAATCCAGCAGTGTTTATTCATCTTCAGATGTCCAAATGTATTAGTTTCCCTAAGTAATAAGACACTAACAAGCGCAACAAACTCGCGGTGAAACTCAGTAGCTGCAGAGAGATAATTGAATCCTTAAATTTAGAGTTACCTTTTACAAGATCAAAAAAGCTTCGCGTCAAATGGAAAACTTTCTTTCCGAAAGGAAGGGTCACGGCAGATGCGTTCTTAAAGTTATACGTCGAGACCTTTGTTCCAACTTAAAACATATGAACGGTTTGCTTTCTCTCTTTTTTTTAAGCAACTTGTTTGTCCATTTTACAAGGTCACAAACCCTTGCTTATTTTATTGACCTGTCACAACGAAATAGTTGGCCTAAATGAACCATGGTTTGGTAGCTATACATGATATCATGCAATATCCACAACAACAGATTCAATATTGCGTAATTCCTCTAATGTGAGGCTTGGATCTCACCAATTAAACCTCTAAGTGGCCATCATTGCCTCCAATACGTATTAATTTCCGGTTATATAATATCATCTCCCTGGTTACAAGTTTCGGGCGACGGATATTTACATTTTACTTCTACACTGTGTTATCACAGCGACTGGTTCAGGGCAGCCATTGTACGAATGTGCACTTAATTCCATAAGCTAATGTAGCTTGACATGTACATGTCTCCACCATTTAATTGTCATTGTCCATATGACGCTAATCTCTATCGCTAATCCCCATCACTATAGTATAGTATATAGCCTTGCCAATCAACAGTGGCAACTCTGTCACTGTTCATTAATTGACTTGTTGATTCGTGACATATATAACCTTAATGGAATATCCCCGGGTTGTGGCGGTGAACATGCCCATAAGTTCAAAGTCCAGGTCATTGTGTCGTCATCTCCCCATTGTTGTCCATTCCCATATATACTATTCAAAGAAAGTAGGGGATATTCAATTAAATATGTCACAACTATTCTGCCTGATATTTGCCTGAATGAGACGTAAAGATGTCCTGTCAGTCACAGTGATACCCCCACACTATTGGTGACCGACCCCAAATCAATTGTTCTGTCTAACGTTAACGGCATGAAGCCTTCATTCCGTCTATGTCTCACTATGCCAAGGAAGTCGAAAGTAAAGCTTGATTTATTGGAAAACTTAACGTTTGCTCATCGACAATTGGGCCAGCGCTCATGCTCTTGACACCAACGACAATCGTGGTATATAACACGTGCACATCGGGCATGCAGGTTCCATCTGTCTAACCGATTACAAATCGCCTGTTGTCACTCTAACACATGTAACTCTATGAAGCTCATCTCCAATTTGATACGGTTTTGGTCACGGTTTCGTATCACATGTCGTTCTGATGAAACGTTCTTGGGCGCCAGTTGTCGCTCTTGGTCGTCGCTCTTGGTCGACCAGTTTTTTTCTCTGTTGACATCGTGATAGTAATCTTCTAATTACTGAGTGTGAAAAGTGAAGAGCTCGTACCACAATGCTCTGTCTTGTTCCAGCTACAAACATGCCAATTGCACGAAGCCGTTCCAGACATAAAAGTGGTCAAAACACGTTTAATTAAGTTGAAAACAAAACCAGGACAATTTCAGTCTGGTTTTCATCACTGAAGTGTACAGCAGCACACTGACACGATTCTCTGCAAATTCTGAATTTTACTTCGACCATGTTCACGAGCATATCATGGAAAACACTTGCACAAAATAACACCCTGGGATATTCATTTTCCCAAGTAATATCAGACCAAAATGGAATATACCCTAGTTTTTGTGACAGTATATTGATGT